TCCTTGGGTTTGTTATTTTTGGTTGTTGCCGTTCATTTATTTTTAATGGCTTACATACTACTTTATAGCAAGATTTTTTTTTTTCTAATTACAAGGTGTCCTTATGGCTTTCTTACTGAATTCCTTACCCTCTCCCAACCTCCACCCCCAAATGTTCCAGTTGAAAGTGAAGAGGCTCCCACAGAGGACTAGAGAACATTGTCCCAGTGTTTGGTTTTGTAGTGCTTAGGTTCTCTGTCAGCATTCCGAGTGTTACAGAAATGTAAGAGGTCTCGGGGTGTTCGTGGCACATGCCTTTAATCCCAGCACTCGGGAGGCAGAAGCAGGCAGATCTCTGTGAGTTCCAGGCCAGCCTGGTCTCCAGAGCAAGTGCCAGGATAGGCTCCAAAGCTACACAGAGAAACCCTGTCTCGAAAAACAAAACAAAACAAAAAAAGAAATGTAAGAGGTCCATGGAGGAAAAGACTCTTCGGTTCTGGGAAGGACAGTGGGCGTGCTTACATCTAGCTGGCTTAGTGATGGCTTGTCCTCTTAGACCTTCCATATTGAAAAGTGGTAATGCCCCTCCTTCCTGACCAGCTCATCTGGTTATCTTCAGATGGTCACAGAGCATAAGTTAGAACTCTTTGACTTGAATCATGAATTTGCTTTTGTCTTAAAGTGGCTCATGGTTTGTGTACATGTATGGTGTGCATGTTGCCTGTTCACAAGGTGTGGTTGGATGCACATGCAGGCAAGTGTGTTGACACCAGGTGTCTTCTCTATTGCTCTTTGCCTTTATTCACCAGGTCAAGGTCAACTCTTCATTTATGGCTGTTCTAGTTAGCCAGTTTGTTCCCTCCCCCTTTGCCTGGGATTATAGTTGGTCCCCTAACTGTCTGTCTTATCTTGCATGGCAGTGCTTTGTGTTCCAAGCCATCTCTGCATTCTCTTTCCCAGTGTCCCTTTCTCCATCCCCTTTCCTCCTTTCCCATTCCCCCTTCTTCATTCCCTCCATCTCTGTCTTTGTGTTATAAATTAGAGCTAACTGGAAGCAGGAGTGTTATTGTCAGTCTAGGGTGCACTGAAGGTGCATGTAAGTTGGACTTGGAGATATTTTTTAGCCCGAATCTTCATTTCAGTTCTACACTTTGGGTGCAGTGCTGATCTAGCCAGAAGAGCATCTGCATAGTGGTTTCCCTGTGAGTTGAGCCCTCTCACCACAATCAGTTTCACTTCTGACAAGCTCAGCTTAGCTCAGCTGGTTCCACAGAGGAGTCTACTACCTACTTCTGGGCCTGGCTGTCTCACCAAGGTGGACTTGCTGGCCAGCCAGGTGCATTCTGCAGGTCTGTCCTGAGAAAGACAGACGGATGAAGGTGAAGGAAGGTAAAGAGCCTAGGGAAGATGCTGTGTTCTGGAGTAGGATGGTTGACAGGCAGGGGTTAGGTTGGCCTGGAGCAGGGATGATGGCAGTATTTGTGGAGAGCCACTACCTAGAGTTCTAGAAGGTGGCAGTACAGGCAGCAGCAGGAGGGACTTGGTCAGAGTGTTGTCACGACCCTAAGACTGATTATCTGCTGGGATATAGACCTCCTTTAGTGGACTTAGCTGTGTGGAGTAATGCATATACAGAGCATGGAAAAGAAGGAAAGCAATGAAAAGGACTAGTAGAAAAGGGTTTAAGATCAAAGGGGTGTAGTATATATAGACTTGGCTTTTATAGTAACGTGTGAAGAGAGGAGTAAAACAAGTGTTACTTATGCTAACGTAAAAGGGGGACAGAACCCAGCCAGATGAAAAGCAACCTGGTGGTGTGGAAGATGGAAAAGATGGATGCATGTATAGAGCTATGCATCAGCTTAAGAATTCAGTTCTGATAAGTATTGGATCCCCAGTTACTGAGTTCCTCCACTGAAGTAATAAGCCAAATCAAATCAAATTAATAAATCCAGATTTAATAAACAGAGCAAAGCATAGTACTCGCCATGACTCCTGGGGAAGGCAGGAGGGAGCTAGGCCTTAAATAGCCTATGGGAATGATCTTATGCATCTCGGGGAAGGAGCAGCTGATATTGGGCTTTCTTAGGGGCAGGGTCTCAAATAGGAGGAGTGGCACTGGGTGGAGCTTCTCAAGATTCTGTAGAGTTGTAACTAACTAATTGTGAGAGTAGTGTTGCTTATAGCCCAGCAGGGTGTTGGCAGCATACATATACAATAGTTTCTGTTTGGGTTACAGTTTTTTTTTCCTGGCTAGACAAACATTCTACTACTGAGTTATGTCCCTAGCATCTCCTTAGACATTTAGTTATGCGATATTAGAATTTAAGATGAGGAAAGTCGAAGGGAAGCCTTTAAGAAGGTGAACTAAAAGAAAGCATTCAAATAGTGCTGAGCCCCTGACATTCCAGAACAGCAGAGTCAGATGTTCTAAAGATGTTCTAGAAGATACTGTTGAGTCTGCAGTTGTGCCATAAAATGTGGGTAACAGTGACACATCCAACAGGGCTCTCTCCTCTCCACCATCTCCATAGGCTCCTGGATTTGAGCTCATGGGACCCATGAGGAGCCTCGTGTGCTGATTTTGCTTTTCTGTTGATGTGGCATTCACGTGGCAGAATGCTTCGTGTACTCATTGCTTTACCCAATCCCCAAACATTTTCATTACATCAGAATAAAACCCAAGGCTCCTCAAGCAGCACCCTACTTCCACTTTTCTTGCTGTGTTACAGTATCCTGGTAAAAAGCAACCTGGGAGGGAAGGGGTTGTTTTTCTGGCCTACAGTCCTGTCATGGGAAAGTCCGAGCAGTAGTGCAGAACACCGAGTCTGCACTCAAGAGCAGGGAGTACAAACGTATGGACCCTTGCTGGCTTCCTTAGTCCCAGCCAGCTGTCTCTGAAGTTCCGGCCCCGCCCCTGGAATAGGAGTTGTCTCATTCTGGGTGGGTCTTCCCAGTCATCAGTCAGGCAGTCTCCACTGTACATGTCTCTGTACATTGTATCAGTTCTTCCAAAGCTGCATTTCTTGCCAAAATTCTCTTCCCTCAGGCCAGTCTGTTCTAGACAAGCCCTTAATTGAGACTGCCTTTTTAGGTGATTCTAGGTTGTGGTACATTTGACATTTAAAACCACAGGCGGTTAAGTTCATATCCCCACACTCATATCCCCTTCCCACACACACTAACCCAAACCCTGGCAACCTGTAGTCTTCTTTCTGTCCGTGGGTTTTCCCTGTCCCCTGTGCCCTATGTACAGACTGTGCTGTGGCTACAAGGAAAAAGTTGGACTTCAGTGGACCTGGCAATGCCAAGATTCAGTCATTTCTTTTAGATAGACTTTGTTGCTTTAGTATCATTTCGTAGGCGCTGTATTAATGGTGTCTATATGCCTGTTATTTCTCTTCTACCCTAGGACTATATAAAGTTGTTATGTGATGATTAGCCATAACAATCAGAACTTTGTGTTATTTGCAGAGAACACATTTGTGCCTCTATATCAGACCCTGGTTCACACTGTAGAATGTTACTTAGCCTTTACCAGGTGCCAGTCATGCTCTCTCCTCCCCAGGTGAGAAAGCCAGCATGACAAAAGTGTCCCCTTAGCCAATTGATCCTGATTAACAAATGCTGACTAAAACCTTCCCTCTTGAGCAGGTTTTTTCTTTGAGTGTAAATGTGAGTAATCAGTCATGTGTTAGAGACAGTCATCAGAAGGTGCCAAGAGACAATTGCTTCATGACTGCAGCCTTAGGTGCTGTCGTTTTAAACATTCCCTGAACGGTTTCTATTCTTTAAAAGAAAAAAAAAGTTAAATTTTGAATTTTTGGCAGCCCTCTACTGCTTAGTTATGTAAAGCTCATTCCAAACTGACAGTGCTATGCTGAAGGCATTCAGCCTGATTAGCCCAACAGGAAGTAATGCCTTGGAAAAAGTAAATATAGAATTCTAGTTTGCTCAGAAATACTAGAAACATTGAAAGTATTTTAAAGTACAGAGCATAAAGCATTCAACAGTTGAGGCAAACAGGGAAGAATCATTTTTCCATAAACTTCCTTTCTTCAATATAAAAATTCCAAGCGACTCTCTTGTTGCAGTCCCAGTGGACTTACCAGATAGGCAATATTCTCCCCTTTTGTGCTTCTGGCCTCTGTTTTCCAAATGTAAACAGTTCATTTCTGCCCCATACTGAAGGAATTAGCTGTGGGCAGGGCTATTTGATGTGATATGGTACCTCTTTAGAAGTGGAGGTGCTGGTGCTGGAGAGAGCTCAGACGCTAAGATGGCTACTCTTGCTGAGGACTGACATTGGGTTCCTTGCACTCCCACCTTTAACTCCAGCTCCAGGGGATCTGATGCCATCTCCTGGCCTCCACAGGCCGTGCACTGGTGTACATATACCCACACATGGATGTATACATAGACTGAAAACAAAAAACAAAGCCCGTTAGAATGTAGATACTACATTTTTCTCTTCTTAGATATTTTCCTTGGATATTAAAATTTTTATCATAGGTTCTTTATAGTTTTGAAAGAATGGCTGTGAAGGGTTTTCCTGTTGTGAAGCAGCTTTCTAGCTAGTTTGTTGTTTTCTGTATAGCTAATGGAATAGGTGGGGATAGACCTTGGAGGAAATAAGACAGAGGTGCTGATGGAAGCAAACCAGATGAGGAATTTACTGTACTGTCTATCATTAGACATTTTCTGTTCCTTAGTTTTGAGAGAGGATGTCTCCACTGGTTTTTTTTACTGGGTGTCAAATATTGAGTAAGGTGATGGGAAAAAGAAAACTCCCACAAACTACATCTTCAGGAACAATTTCTGCAGAGTCAAATGCAGTGCTGGTAAACTGTCTCTTCCCATTGCATGGAAGATGAGATGAAGACTATCCCTGTATGCAATTCTTTGTATCTAAAGTCTTTTTCGCATGTTGAAAGAGAAGTGGTAAGATGAGTTTTTATGAGAGTAGGTGACTGAGCTACCTCTCCCTCATGCAGTACATTCTTCTTACTGTTTTTATTCAGGGACTATGTTAGGAGTGAACTGGAGTCTGCCTATGAAGGACCAATGTATTTAGAACCTCTCTCCCTGAATCGCTTTACCACAGCCTTAATAGGTAAGTATTGTTAAGATTTAAAGGTATTGGTTTTACCATCTAATGAGAAAACATTGATTCATAGTCATTTAAAACATAATTTAAAAATTCAGATTTGTTTATTACTCTCCCTATAAAGTCACTGTTTTGTTTGGGGGCTTTTGTTTGTATTTAGGGGATTTTGCTCCTTTTGTTTTGGTTTGGTTTTTCAGACTGGGTCTTTCTGTGTAATGGGGATGGGGGGTGGGGTGGGGGTGGGTCCAGACTTCTCCCTCCACTTCCCTAGGACTCCTGATCGTCCTCCCTCTGCTTCCCTGATCCTGTTTTCATAGGCAAGTGATGCCACATCCCCCTTTGACTCTGACTTTGTACTTTTACTTTCTTTCTCCCTTCCCTCCTTTCCCTACTCCTTTGCCCGCCCCCCACCTGCCCTTTATTTCTGGCAGTGCCTCATGTGGCCCAGACTGGCTTTGAACTCATCATGTAGCCAAGGATGAACTTGAACTGCTGCTTCCCCTCCTGAGGGCTGGGGTTTTATCACTGCTGGGGCTTGAACCCAGGGATTTATATGTGTTTATGTTAGAAACAAAGAATAATTGTCTTGTACAAAGGAACATATGAACAAAAATAAAAGATGCTGGACAAGCAATTATTTGCAGAAAGTGTGGGACAGAAACCAGATCTGGCTAGCAAGCATGAGGTATGCTGGGGCAGGAAGTTCACTTGGATTTTATTTTAACTCAGGTGGCGACTGTCTTTTCCCCATTGGCTGGAGTCTGACTCAGTCTTTCGAAATTGGCTAGTTTTAAAAGGGTAAGGGGTCAGGAATCCGTGCTTCAGGTTACTGGAATGCAGCTTTTTTAGTAAACAAAAATTTTGTCATGTGGAGAGAAAAAAAGGTTTGCATGATTGGTGGGAAATTCATGGAATTAGGGCCTCAGTGGGTAAACAACTACCTTATAGAAAGCAAAAAACCCACCCCTCACCTCTCACACTAGTGGGCACTCTACCAATCAAGCTACAATCCAGCCCACCTGTTCTTCCTCGGCCTACACATGTTCCCTTCCTTCCCTTTTCCTACTTACTTTGAAGGAACCAGCCCCCCATTTCGGCAGCCATGACAGTGACACATGCTCGCTATGATCTTGCCTTGGTCACTAAGAGGTTAGGTGCCTGCCTCATGGCAAGGAACCAATCAGAAGTTATCTGGTGGCGCTATGTTTTATGGCTCTGGGTGTGCTTTATGGAAAAGTGCACAGCAATGACACGCAGAGCATAGCAACCACCCTGGGAGGGCCTATGGGCCATAACAACCAATTGGCCAATCAACACAGGACAAGCCCTCCAAGCCTGGAGGCACACCAATCCTGAGCCTGT